CGCCTCGGCCTTCTAGGTAGGGATCCCACCCTCCACTCCTGATCTTCCTTCTTGATGGTCCTGGGATCTTTCATTCTTGCTTCTGAGATGGCTCCTTTTAAACCTACTTGGATGGCAAAACTAACCAACCCCAGTTTTGCATGGTCCCACCCAGTCACTAAGGAGTACAAATCGGGCTGCTAATCTCACGGTTTTGTTGTTGTTGTTGTTATGTGCTGTAGAGTAGGTTCCAACCCATAGGAAAATGAAGCTTTTTGCTCCCATAAAGACTTACAGCCTCGAAAACCCTGTAGAGGGTTGCTGTGAGTCGGAACCGACTCCACGGCACATAACAACAACAACAACACCCAGTCACGTGGTGGGAATTACGAAGACATTGGATAGAAAAGCCACAGCCAGTCAGTCTGAAGTACCACAAGTCGATTCCTCACTATTTCTCCGGGATGACTTTGTGAAACACCATTCACTTAAGAGAAAACATTTCTTTCCCCCCTCTAGCTCATCCCTTCTTTTCAGAATGAATGGATCTGCCTCACATTTGTTTCAACATGAGACTTTATCCTTGGTAAGGAATATTCCGTCCACTAAGACTTTTTAAAGAATAGTGAGCCTGGGGCAGGTCCTTGTAAAAGGACAGTAAGACAGAGATCCCCAGTGCTCTTTCCTTCTGTGGCTCTTCCTGCTTGGGAGCTGTTATGTTCCAGCTAGGCAGCCTGCTTTAGACCCTTGAGGAGTAATGTACCATTCAAGAATTGAAACTTTTCTCTCAAAGCTCCTTGCTTTTCATGGGTACATGAAAGTGTTTGCTAGGCACTCGATTCCATGCTGTGCTCTTTGCTTGCTTATTTCACGGATTCTAAGGCACTTAACAACAACATCATCATCACAAGTGTTTGCCGTCGAGTCAGTTCAAGCTCATAGAGATCCTGTATAGTGTTTCCGAGGAGTGGCTGGTGAGTTTGAACTGCCGATCTGTGTTAGCAGTCCAAGGCTTATCCTACAGCACCATAGCAGGACTCCATCCTACTGTTGTTGTTGTTGTTGTTGTTGTTAAGTGCCGTTGAGTTGGTTCCAACCCATAGCGACCCTGTACAGGGTTTCCAAGTCTGTAAATCTTTACAGGAGCAGAATGCCTCATCTTTCTCCCGCGGAGCAGATGATATTTTCGAACTGCTGACCTTAAGGTTCGCAGTCCAATTTGTAACCACTACACTAAGGAGCTCTGGTAGCATAGTGGTTACAAATTGGGCTGTTTACCTCAGGGTCAGCAGTTTGAAACTACCAGCTGCTCCGTGGGAGAAAGATGAGGCATTCTGCTCCCATAAAAATTTACAGCTCGGAATCCCTGTACAGGGTCGCTATGAGTCGGAACCGACTCCACGGCACATAACAACAACAACAACAACACTACCAGAGCTTCTTCGATCTCACTGTAGAAGTAGAGAAACTAAGACTTGGAGTTTAGGAACTGCCCAAACTCCAGATTTAGAGTGACCCAAAGCCAAGATTTGAATCCAGATCTCGTGTTTTTAGTCTCAGCTTTAAAAGGATGCTGTGAAAGCAGTCCTTCAGTGGCTAGGTGGACAGAGAGGAATGGTGTTAGCTCATCTCCCACCTCCTCAAGCCACCAAGGACATATGGGCACGTACGGAGTGTGCGCAGATGAATCCCAGTGACTTATGTGATCAGAAGCAAGGCCAATGAGAAATCAATTTCCAAACAGATTGTGAGTGTCTGGCTGCAACTGGTTAGTGGTTGTGACTCATTTTTTAGGAGATTGACACTCATCGTTATATTCAGACAAGGACAGATTAGCTGGTACAAGTAGAAGGCATCTCCACTCCTCACACAGAGCCCCATGCATGATTATTAACCCAGCTCCTTATTCCTTCAGAACAGGAACCATTGCTAGAAGTGACTAAACACCTTCACCCTCTTAGCTCATACCCTGGGGCAGGCATTTATTAATTACTTCCTGGATTTCTGAGTTTAAACATTAGCTCTGGAAGGCCACGGACTTAATATGTTTTTTTGATGACATGTCGTCGTTGTGTGTGCCATCAAGTCAATGCCAATTCAGAGGGACCGCATGTGATAGAATAGAATTTCTCCAGAGACTGTAGTCTTTACCAAAGGAGATCACCAGGTCTGTCTGCCACGGAGCAAGCGGCTCATTAGGAAGTTTTGTTGTTTTCAGTTTCCCTTTGATTTGTGGCTTCTGCTGAGACCATTTGATTACACAGGGCTAAGGCAGAGCATTGTATGTTTGATTCTTAGGTAGCCCCAGGACGGAAGGCAAGGTCAGTAAACGTTCACCAGTATCTCCTGCTGAGGCAGGTCATAGGGCTGATGCCCAGTCATGCAGTAAAGGCAGCAAGGCAGGGCATGCACTGAGCACCCCATGGGGATTGCCAACAGCATTCTTCCAATAGGAGAAACTAATGTCATTCTGCCGGGTCATATATTCTAATAGCCTGACTATTTTTATCATACCATGTGGCTACAAGTATTTGTTATGTAACAAATGCAAAGAAAATCCTGTCTCTGTTTCACTCCTTTGCTTTTTTTGCCTCCCTCTGGATATGTGGAGAACTTAGCTCATTGAAGTTTTCTGTTTCAAACGCAAATCGAAAGTCATCCTGAAAGAAATTCTCTTTTGTGATTTTCATGAAAGAAGCGCTCTGTCTTTTTCTGGTCCTTTGGGGTCATTTAGCGGAGGAAGAAGAGAAGGAGAATTATCACTTATTGGACATGCACAATGGGCCAGGCACTATTTTAAGTACCATATATATTTATTTTCTTATTTAATCACATAGCAACCCTATGACCTACATACTTTGAATATCCCTGATTTCTCCTTTCTACATCCAGAGAGGCACCAAGGACATCAGGTTACTTCACCACGCTCACAAATTTCATTTTCGAAAGTTTGAAGTGTTCAATAAAACATCTCAGAAATCCACCATGATGTCATACTGTACCTAATTTTTCTTCATATTCCTCCCCCCTCCCCCCCGTTTATTGTGAATTGAGTGAAGGCTTACAGATCAGATAGATCATCAGTTTTACATTCCACAGACCATACACTTTGTTTCGTTTCATGTCAATGATTGCAAACTCTTCAGTGTAACATCACTCAGCCCACTTCTTCCCTGTGTTTTTGGTTTCCATTCCTCCTTCTTGCCCAACCCTTCCAATTTTTGTCCTGGGCTAAATGATTTTGAGTTTTGCTCCACTCTATCCAGGAGCTTTCAGAGCAGTTGGTAGTGATAGCTAGGTTGTAGAGATTGGTGTTCACGTGGTCCATTCGTCCACTGGATTAGTTGATGCCAGTTTTCATCACTCATCTGTCCTCTGCACAGGGAGAGACCAGTAGTAGTACCTTAGATGGTCATTCACAAGCTTTTAAGATCCTAGTCACTACTTACAAAAGTGGTGGTGGTTATGTGCCGTGGAGTGGGTTCCAACTCATAACGACCGTGTATAGGGTTTCCAAGGTTATAACTCTTTACAGGAGCAGAAAGCCTCATCTTTCTCCCATGGGACAGCTGGTAGTTTCGAACTGCTGACCTTACAGTTCGCAGCCCAATTCATAACCACTATGCTACCAGAGTACGCTGTAGAACATTGAACGTGTGGCTTATGTTATGCCAATTGACTGTTTGTCCCCAGAGAGTGTGGTGCTGAGGCCCCAGGCCCAATCAGTCGTTCTCTCAAGGTGTTGGGTAATGTCTAAGAATTGTCATAATTTTGTCCCATGTGTGTTCCACCACATTCATATGCAGCAAAGGTGAATTGTTACTATTAGGTGCCATCAAGTCGCCACCAACTCATATTGATCTTTTGTGAAGCACTGGTCAGTTCTGCGCCATCTCACAGTCGTTATGTTTAAGCCTTGTTGCTGTCACTGTGTTAGTCCATCTTGTTGGGGCTCTTCCTCTTTGTCGTTGACCCTCCACTATACTGTGCATGATATCCTTCTCCAGAGACTCATTCCTCCTGACAGCATGTCCAAAGAGTAAGAGATGAAATCTGCCATCCTTGATTCTCAGGAGCAATCTGGCTGTACTTCTTCCAAGATACATAAGTTTGTTCTTCTGGCAGTGAGAGTCCACTGTACTTTCATTTTTCTTTGCCAAGATCATAACTCAAACGCATTAATTCTTCTACGGTAGTCCTTCTTCCTTGTCCACCTTTCACTTGCATGGGACGCGATTGAAACTCCCTCTCTGTAGGTTGCTCCCTGGTCAAGAGGGAGTGACTGCTGCCTGGCCTTAAGGGTCCCTCCTCTTTCTTCTGCTTGTGCCCCCCTTTCCCCAAGAGCCTGGAGTGGGGAATCAGCAGTCCCAGCCCAAGGAAGGAGATATGGGGTAAATATTGTTGCCCTACACCTTCAAGCCTTAGGACGTGGCCACAGGGGCAGACACCCATGCTCAGTCCCCCAGCCTAGCTTTGCTGCTGCCTGTGCCAAAATTGGAAAGACTATGGCATCCACATCTGTACACTGACCCTAGAAGTCTCATGACCCCACAAAAAAGAAAAATACCCACATGCAAATATCCTCTGTCAACCCTTTATATATTTACGGACATGCCTCTACTCTCGATCCAGCACTCTTTCAGCCTGTGATCTAGCCCTGGCATGGTGCTGTAAGATCAGGGCTGGTCTGCTAACCACAAGGTTGGAAGTTCAAACCCACCAGCCGCTTCTCACAAACTCTATACAGGGTTGCTATGAGACAGAACCAACTCAACAGCACTTAACAACAGTGTCTATACGTGTATCTACTGGTAGCTCATTGTTATTGAAGCACTGTGTCTGTAACAGCATTTACTTCTGTTCCCTTTAACTTTTATACTCCAAGGAAACTATCTTTGCAGAAGACGACTTTTCAAACTGAGTTGTTCTCTTCCCTCTGAAGCTGTCTGGTGACCAGCAGCTGTTAATGCCACTTCCATAAATCACTGAGGACACACTGATCCTGCCTCTGATTTCTCTAGGGTCCACCAGCACCTCCAACGATTTGTGGTACAACTTCATCGAGCTTCCCTACCATGGGGAGAGCATCAGCATGCTGATTGCACTGCCTACCGAGAGCTCCACCCCGCTGTCCGCCATCATTCCCTACATCAGCACCAAGACCATAGACAACTGGATGAACATCATGGTGCCCAAGAGGGTGCAAGTGGTCCTGCCCAAGTAAGTACCCTTTTCCCAAAGGAACAAAACATGGGTCTGTCAACCAGTATTGTTGTTGTTGCTGTTGTTAGGTGCCATCGAGTCAGTACCAACTCATAGTGACCCCATACACAACAGAATGAAACACTGTCTGGTCCTAAGCTAACCTCACAATTGATGCCACACTTCAGCCCTTTCATGCTACCACTTGGCCAATCCATCTTGTTGGGGTCTTCCTCTTTTCCTCTGACCCTCCACCTTACCAAACATGATATCCTTCTCCAGTGACTGGTCCCTCCTGACAATATGTCCAAAGTATGAGAGGCTAAGTTTGGCTATCCTGGCCTCCAAGGAGCACTCTGGCTGTGCTTCTTCCAACACAGATCAACCGATATAGATTGTGTCAAATAAGAGACCTGTCACTAAAATATGATCCATCCCTGTGAGGGTGGTCCATGCTCCCTGATCATAATTCCAAATATCTGAAAAGCTTTGACCTGACCTTTATTAATATTGTCCATAGTTTTCATTTGTCCCACTTAGTGTGTTTGATTGTATATGGGAGCCTTGCATTCTGCTGGTTACATTATGTAATACATAGCATGTATATCAGATCACCTTCTTGAATCCAACTGTCACTTCTAAAACATGTGGCCCCAAGGACTTCAAATCAGAGATACTGGAGCTACACTATCTTTTACAGGCAATGAAGAAATAAACTTGAGAAATAAATTATACAAAACAGAAAAATAATAATACTAAAATGGCACGTCACAAAGTCTCTTTCACTCTGCAGACGTTGCATGGTTACAGTACCTGCTGCTTCTGTATCCACTTCCTATGCCTTCTGTGTGGCTGGATGGTTATGATGGGAAAGAAGAGGATTCTTGGGCTATGAAATGTAAATGACCCCAAGTTCCTTCTAACTCTGCTGTGAGGGATTTTCACCTAACGCATTGTATTCAAAAGAACAACAGTTGCATAACATCAATGCCATGGTCAAAGTAAAGTTATTAACACTCCCTGATTTTCTACGTTGTTAAGTACCATCGAGTCAGTTCCAACTCATAACAACCCTCAATAGGGTTTTTGAGAAGCAGCTGGCAGATTTGAACTGCCAATCTTATGGTAAATACTCCAGTGCTTATCCTACAGTGCCACATACAGGGCTAAATGTTAGGGACTTCTTAAGTTCCAGCTAGATGTTTCTGGAAACCAAGGCCCAAAAGTACTTAATAGGGAAATATTTTGAACCCACCCTGGTAGGTTTCTTAGTATGTAGGAAAGTTTTCTATTACTCCCCAAAGTACGATATCAATGGAGTTTGAGATGTTATGACTTAAGACAAAAGGAAATGTAATTCCAGATTCTGCCTGAGTCTGACATTTAGAGCAGGTCAGAGAATGGCTGTCAAGCGAGTGAAGCAAGCAATGAACATTGAGGCTTTCTATGAGTGGTTCAAGGAGCTCTGGTAGCATAGTGGTTACAAGTCAGGTTGCTAGCCTCAAGGTCAGTAGTTCAAAACTACCAGAGGTTCCACAGGATAAAGATGAGGCTTTCAGCTCCCATAAAGATATACAGCTCTGAAAACCCTGTGCATGGTCACTATGAGTCGGAACCGACTCCACGGCCCACCACCACCACCATGAGTGTTTCAGCATAACTGTTCTCCCAGTGGCCAGAGCTTTGTAACTACCCAGCCCGTGGTAGTGAGGGAGGTATCTTTCAGTTCTTGTAGCTTTTGATTTTCCTGTCACTGAGGTGTAAGTGATCAGACTACATTCCTAATAGCCCAGTCAGTTCTGACTCCTGGAAGCCCCTTGTGTGATTTTTCAATGACCGTGATCTTTCAGTGACCGTGATCTTTCAATGGCCGTGATCTTCCAGTGACCGTGATCTTCCAATGACTGTGATCCTCCAATGGCTGTGACCTTTCAAAAGTCGGCCACAAGGTCTTCCTTCAAGATGCATCTGTGTAGACTCAAATCTCTAACCTTCGTGTCAGCAACCAAACACATTAACTATTTAAGCTACATTCATATAAATATTCGTAATCCATCCAAAATCATTTCTGTATGTTAAAGTAAGTCTTCAAGTAGGCAGTGCTCGGTGTAAATGAACAAGCTGGTGACATTGTAGGCACTGGTGGGTAAAGACAGGCACTTGCCCTTGTAACCCATCTGTTCACCCCTCTTGTTGCTCTTCTGTAGGATGAGGTAAGGTTTGATCAAACATCTTCTGACGGTCAATATCACTACTATGCAAATTTACACCAACCACTAAAGCCAATAATGATGAAATTCAAGAATTTTACCAACTTTTTCAGTCCGAAATCTATCAAATATGCAGTTAAGATATGTTGATAATTACTGGTGATTGGAATGCAAAGGTTGGAAACAAAGAGGAAGGATCAGTAGTTGGAAAATATGGCCTTGGTGATAGAAACTATGCTAGATATCAGATGATAGAATTTTTCAAGACCAACAACTTGTTCATTGCAAACACCTCTTTTAAACAGCATAAAAAAACGATTATACACATGGAAGTCACTAGATGGAATACACAGAAATAAAATTGACAGTATATGTTGAAAGCGATGGTAGAAAACCTCCATATCATCAGCTAAGACAAGGCCAGGGACACACTGGAACAGACCATCACTTGCTCAAATTCAGGCTTAAGCTGAAAAAAACTAGAATATGACCATGTACATATCCCACCTGAATTTAGAGATCATCTGAAGAACAAAATTGATGCTTTAGACACAAAGACCACAAGTGTCGTGTGATGAAATAAAGAACATGATGCAGGAAAAGATCAACAAGAAGACAAAAAACGTTGCTTGCTGAAAGCAAAGAGGACCGAAATACTGATGAAGATCAAACCCCACACCCTTCAGTATGGGTTGCACCTCAATGTAAAGAAAACAAAAATCCTCAACATTGGATGAATAAACAACATCCATATAAATGAAGAAAAGATTGAAGTTGTCAGGGACTTCATTCTTCTTGGTTCAACTATCAACACTCATGGAAGCAGCAGTCAAGAGATCAAATGATGTATTGCATTTGGCAAGTCTGCTGCACAAGACCTCTTTAAGATGTTCAAGATCAAAGATGTCAGTTTTAGGACTAAGGTGCGCTTGACCCAATCCATGGTATTTCCAATAACTTCATATGCATGTGAAAGTTGGACAGTGAATAAGGAAGATTGTAGAAGAATTGATGCATTTGAATTATGGTGTTGGAGAAGAATATGAAAAGTACCATGGACTGCTAAAAGAACAAACCATTCTGTGTTGGAAAATGTACAGCCAGGATGCTCCTTGGAAGCCAGGATGGGCAGGCTTCATCTCTCATACTTTGAACATATTATCGTGAAGGACCAATCCCTAGAGAAGGATACTATGTTTGATAAATTGGAGGGTCAGAGAACAAGAGGAAGACTGCCAATGAAGTGGATTGATACAGTGACAGCATTAGTGGGCTCAAACGTAGCAGTGATTGTGAGGTTGGCCAGGACCAGACAGTGTTTCGTTCTTTTGTGTATAGGGTCATTGTGAATCTGTACCAACTTGATGGTAGTTAACAAAAAAGAAGTGTTTTTGAGAGATAGGATGCTATTTATTTACTTGGTGGTTTATTCTTGAGATTAAAATGTGCAATGCCATTTAGATTAACATTCAGAGCATATTAAAAAAAAAAAAAAAAGGCAGTTTTGTAAACGTTTTTATACCAGCACTATGCCGTTCTCCATCATTGATAGTATGTATTTTCTGCTTTCTTCCTAGGTTCACAGCTGTAGCACAAACAGATCTGAAGGAGCCACTGAAAGCTCTTGGCATTACTGAGATGTTTGATCCATTAAAGGCAAACTTTGCAAAAATCACAAGTATGCTCCACTTAGAACTTACTCTTAAACTTGAAGAAAATGTTAGAAATGGAGTCTGATTTGTTCAGCAAGAAAAAGTGAGAAATAGGAATGAGTTGTACTCAAATTGTCCCAGGTTTAGTTTTATATATGACCCAATGATGCTGCTGGTCCTTGGTTATTTAAGTGAGCATAACCCATGCATGCCTTCTTACATTTCACACGTACATTTCATGTGAGACCCATACCACTCTCCACAGGGAAAGAAAACATCTCACATATGATCTCTGTTACCTGAAAATTACTTCCGAATTGGAGAGCAACCTCTCTTCGTCTTTTTCCACATAGCGACAGCAGATATGCACTCTGCCGAGATTTATATTATGTCATGTCCATGCTGGTGTATGTGACACATTAGAAATTCAAATTTGTCTGATTCAAACTCTTCCTTGGCAAAGCAAGTAGAACATATCTGGTAGTGTAGCTCTTCTTTTGCCAGTGCACTTAGCTTTTTCTAGAGTTAGGTTTCAAAAAACCATTCTTTGTGTTTTAAATAGAAAATCTAACAACCCGCAGGGACATCAAACACTGGTTTTATTGATTTCTTTTTATTTTCCGGAAACAGGGTCAGAAAACCTTCATGTTTCTCACATCTTGCAAAAAACAAAAATTGAAGTCAGTGAAGATGGCACCAAAGCTTCGTCAGCAACAAGTAAGCACGGGGCTCTGCAGCTGGATGGGGTCCAGGGTGGGCAAGCACAGGTACCCCACTTCTTCATCAGGTTAGTGAATACCGTGCTGTTGGTAGTTGATGTTGAGATGAATCCAACTTATGGAGATCTGTGTGCGGAGCACAACTGTTCCCTGGGGTCTACAAGACTATGACTTTGGGGAAGCAAATCGCGTTCTAAGGCACCTCTGGTGGGTCAGAACCACCAGCCTTTCAGCTAGTAGGCAAACGCTTTATCATTTGTGCCACCTAGGAACTAAGTACTGAGCCCCATGTCAGGAAAGCACTGTGGGGCCCTTGGGCCCACAAAGTGACTCAGGGCCCACCCACATGGAACTTAGATTCTGTTTCATTAAAGAAAAGCACTTCCCTTAGGACAGGAGTCAGCAAACTGTTTCTCTCCAGGACTAGTAGGAAGTACATCATTGTGGCTCTGTGGGTCATAGGGTCTGTGTCCTACCTTCTGAAGTTGACCATGGGAGCAGGAACATTAGTCACAGATAGCAGATGAAAGGGTGCAACTATGTTCCAAGTTTCACAAGAAAATAGTGGTTTATTAATTCCTGCTCTGGGAGTGTATAGCACATTTTGGCTTCTTATTGGTAAGAAAAAAAGAACAAAACCATTTTCAGATTGAAGCACAAAATAATAAAATTAGGTTTCTACAGGACAAAGAGAAGCATTACCAAGCAGCTACTGAATTACAACAGAACTGCTAGCAGCCTTCCTTGATAATTAAACACGCACACGTGCTTTTTCATCAATGGGAAAAGCTACTAGAGCCATCGTAAGTTGTTTTTCTGCCCCCTAACAACCCATGAGATGGGATAAATAGATTTGACTGAAAGCCATAGGCTCATAAAGTGTCTCTCTTAGCTACATCTGCAGCTGGATTGATGATATTTTGATCATTAAAAGGTGCACTTATACTCACAATAGTCACGTTATTACCTTTCCTGAATAAACATTTCTTCTTTCAGTAAAACAAAGACACAGAACAAAGGGCTTGGCTACTTAAGATGCCTTCTTGCTTTTCTAGGCATATATAAGCAACATCAAGTTTTTGCCTAAAGATAGTGACCAAATTTGCCAACTGGTATAACTATTAGGACATACCATGATCAAATGTAACAATGAGTGTGAGGCGGGCGTAGGACCTGGCAGTGTTTCCTTCTGTTGTTCAAAAGGTTGCCAGGAGTTGGAACCAACTGGGTGACACCTCACAACAACAGCAGTAGAAAATGAAATGCAGAGTCTCTTGTTGAAACATTAGTAGGCATTTCAAGATGGCAAGAACAGGGCACTACGCCCAGGGAGTGGTTCCACAAGTGTGAGGCCCTGTGCCCCTGCCCAGGTCGCACACCCATGAAGCCTAACTCACACGCTAATCTTGCCATAGCTGCATGGTTCCTTTGTAACATCAAGACCAAGTCCTCAGTGCTTTCTGGGGGGCACTTTCTGCAGGCTTATGGTAGTTATCCAGGGAGGGCACACCACATACCTCCCTTTGTGCAGGACCTCCTCCAGTTGCCAGCAAGTGGACTCTGAGTCATGGCGACCTCAGTGTGTCAGAGTAGAACTGTGCTCCACAGCATTTCTACTGGCTGATTTTTCAGAACTATATCACAAGCGTTTCTTCTGAGGTGCTTCTGGGTAGACTCTGTCAGCCTTTTAGTTAGCAGCTGATTGTGTTTACTGAATGTACCATGTGGTTCACTATAACTATCACAGGCTTGTTAAGTGGAAGTCACCATCAGTAAACATGACTGAGTAGGCATTTCTGAGACCCAGGAGCCAGAAGACGTTTGCTTCAGGGCTCAGATGTCCACACCTGATGAGTTGGACAGCAATATAAGGTGGTAGGTCCCAGATGAATGATCTTCATGGTCAGAGCAAAAGAAAGCTAGGTGAGGTCCTAAGATACGCAAAGTAGAAGAAGAGCCGAGTTGAAAACTAAACTGGGGCTTGGTATACAAGAAGTCATGGATAAGTCTAGAAAGACTAAGGGCCCTCATCACCAAGACCAGTGGTGTGAATAAAAACTACAGCTAGCTAATAATTGTGGTGAACATGCATTGGGCGTTAGTTATGTGGCTAACACTATGACATAGTTCATGACGTTTATCCCTCATGAAAATCATATGAAGGGTAAGTAACAAAGATAGAGCTTGTGTAGAATAAACAAGACAGTAAATGTGAAGGGCCTCGCTTGTGGTGGGTGCTCAAGACATGGTGTCCACTGAGCCTGTTTGTAGCATGGCTTCTCCTTGGGGCCGAGATTCATGGAGCCAGAAACCTCAGCCTTTCAGCGTCCATTGATCCAGGTGCTCGAGCAGGCCATGTGGGTAACTCCCATTCCTTTCTTCCCATAGCCGCCATTCTGATTGCACGGTCTTCACCGCCATGGTTTATAGTAGACAGACCTTTTCTATTTTTCATCCGACATAACCCTACAGGTAAGTGCAATCCCCTTCTAATTTTAGTAGTGGTTAAAATCCAGAAAGGCTAAATTCGAATTTTATCCAACAACATTGGTCTTAATTCATCTCCCTATGTCCACAGTTGCAACACTGAATAATAAAATCACCTATCTTTTGTTGTTTTTGTTGTTGAAAACATACACCAGTTCAACTGTTCTACTTGCCCAGCTCAGTAATGCTGACTGTATTCTCCAAGTTGTGCAATTTTAACCTTCCTTTTCTGAGATGTTCCTTCCACATTAGCAGAAGCTCAGTGTCCCTAAGTTTAAGCTGAACTATTGTTTGGTTTGTAGAAGACCTCAGGGGATAGTTTTGATAACCAAGCATCTGAAAGAGATAGGAAAACCAAGACTGCATTTGCAGACTCTCAGGGAATCTTTTAAACACTGATAGGGTTTTATGTTCTGAGTTTTCAGTTGTAGTTAGCCTATGTAGGAAGTCCTGGTGTGGTGCTGTAGGAAAAACACTGGATTGCCAATCTGAAGGTCAGCAGTTCGAAGTCAACCAGCTGCTCCTCGGAAACCCTATACAGAATCGCTCTGAGTCAAAACCGACTCAGTGGTACTTAACACCAAATAACAGGTAGATTCACAGCCCTTTGGAAACGCTGTTTTTTCCATATTTTTGTAAGTACAGTGGTTAAACTCTGCAAGTAACTACATGTCTCAGTCTTTGTAACGCTGCTCTATTATTTTAACCTGGAAATTGTTCATTCAGTAGATCTTGACTCTCTGAATCATGGGCTTGAGCCTGCCTGGCTCCGTCCCTCAGCTTCGTCTTTGACATGAGCATAACCAATAGTTCTTACTTCCTTGTACACTGATGAAGAATAAATAAGGTTATCCAAGTTTCAGGGCAGCTCCTTGATGCATTTAGGTTTTACTGTTTTGTTTTTATTTTTTTTCAAATTCTGTGAGTAAGATCGTTCCTTACTCCTTTATCTCATTGTGACTTTAATGTCATCATGAAATGGCACGGGCCAGAGCTGGAAAGTTCAACACAAAAGCCACTAGTCCCATGTGGCTGTTTCACTTTAAATTTTAGTTAAGTAAAATGAAATGTAATTTAAAATTCGTTTCTCCGTCATACTAGACACATTTCAAGAACTCAGTAGCCACATTTGACTTCGTTGTTGTTAAGTGCTACGGGGTCATTTTCAACTTAGAGTGATCCCATGTGACAAAGTAGAACTGCCCCATAGGGTTTCCTAGGCTGTGATCTTTGATGGAACTAGACCCCCAGGTCTTTCTTCCGAGTTGCAGCTGTGTGGGTTTGAACTACCAACCATTGGTTTTGCAGCCAAGTGCTTAACCATTGTTTCACCAGTGCTTGTTCATCTGTCACTTAAGAAAACAAGACAAAATCTATTGCCATTGAGTCGATTTGGACTTACAGCCACCGTATAGGACAGACTAGAACAGTCCCATGAGGTTTCTAAGGCGTAAATCTTCATGGAAGGATACGGCCACACCTTTATCCCTTAGAGTGGCTGCAAGTTCAAACTGCTGACTTTCAGTTAACAGCCAAGCATTTTAACCACTGCGCCACTGGGGATCCTTTTCACATGTGACTGTAGTTGTTAAATGATTCCAACTCATAGCGACCCTGAACAGTGTTTCCAAGGAGTGGCTGGTAGGTTTGAACCACCGATCTTGTGGTCAGCAGTAGAGACCTTATCCTAGAGCACCATAGCAGTGCTCTACTAGTGGCTAGCAAACTGGACGGCCCAGGTACACAGTTTCTGTCACTGCAGAGAAGTCCGTCGGACAGCAACACGTGAGAACACTAGTCAATTCCAACTCATAGCCACCACCCTGGTTAGGGCTTCCAAGGCCTCGTCTTTTTCCTGCAGAGCAACCTGTGGGTTTGTACTACCCACCTTGTATGGATACCAGTCTAGTGCTTATCCTACAGTGCTACCAAGGATCTTATGATTCAGGGCTTCCCATTAAATATAATAACCTCCCATTTTATTTTAAGGGTTATGCTCTTAGAGTTACACATTCTTTCTGTTTAATTCTGTAGGTGCTCTCTTATTCATGGGACAGATAAACAAACCTTGAAGAAAATATGTAAGAAACCCGACAAAGCAAAGACCACTTTGCTATGAAGAAAAGACTCCTCTTTTACATCTCTCATAGTTATGTTAAATATTTTTGTACGTTGCCTCCTTTTTCAAAACTAGTTCATAGCAACAGAGATTCTGGGGACACCAGCATTTCTGTCCTGGGACGTGGTGTTGAGGGAAGGATGAGCAGGATGCCTGGGACACGCTCCTAAGAAATGAACAGATAAAGGCTTCACAATGTCTCCAAGAGTCTTTAAACTACTGAATGATTACCTAGGTTAACAACATCTTGAGTTTTCACTGTCCAGTTCAGGATTTTTGTTTTGTTTTGTCTTTTTATGTGGCTTTTCAGAAGAAATTTAATCAGTGTGACAGGAAAAAAAAAAAAAAGACATCTTATGGTAGCTTTGACTTCTTTACGGAAAAATATATTATTTGCTTTCTTAATTTTTTTTTTTTTTTTTGCCCCATCCAAAGTCATGATAGCAAGTCTTATTTTTGGAGGTAGAAATAGCTGAATCTCTCACCTCTTTGTGTGTTTTCTGTTGTCGTTGGTATTTTATATATGCATATATCCACTAAAATAAAGTTTAAAAAACTAATGTGTATGAATTATTGAATGTAAGTAAACTGATGATCTGCTCTGTCAACCTTCACCCAATTCACAATAAAAAGTTCAAAAATAAAAACAAAACTAATGTCTTGCTAGACAAGGTTTGCTGTTGTGCAGTGTGCCTGGTCTGTACTCTTCAAAGTTGCATTTTTTGTATTTTGTACAAAGTAAAAATAAAGCATTATGAGTAGTAGAAGTGTATACATATGCTGTTTATTATTTGAAAATACAGCAAGAGAAACAGAGCTTTTAAAAAACGCCTTGACGTCTTCTAAGAAATCCTTGCACTTAAGCAAACAATGAAAGTCCAAATCCCTAGGTTTCTCCTACCTTTTCCCTGTAAACCTGATAGTCAAACACTGTTTACTGCTGGGCTGCTTCCCAGTTTAGCAGTCACTTCAAAGGAAGTGCAGTTCTGGTATTTAATGCCAGGTCTAATCTCAACTGCATTGCACATCTCAAGCGATGGCTGAATGTTCTCAGTAAACGTAGGACAGAAAGAAGTTGCAGGAGACTAATATACTGTGGAAATATTAGGGAATGGCTACAAGCAACCATCTGAGGCTTTGGAGAATACCATGGATTGGGTCAAGCACACCTCAGTCCTTAAACTGACATCTTTGCTCTTAACAGTTTAAAGAAGTCTTGTCCAGCAGATTTGCCTAATGCACTATGTCAGTTTGATTTATTGACTTGACTGCTGCTTCCATGAGCCACCATTCATCTGTCAGTTTGCTGCACTGTGGTGGCTTTTGTGATGCTGAGATTCGGGAAGCTCTACCACTGGTATTTTAAATCCCAGCAGGATCACCCGTACCCATAGTAGACAGGTTTCAGATGAGCTTCCAGACTAGGAAGAAGGAGAGATGGACAACTTTTGAATATTTAGTGACTGTCAGCACCAAAATATTGAATATTGAAACATTATTCAATGAAAAGCACCAGAATATTGTCAGATGTCGTGCAAGAAAATAAGAGACACTAAATACAACTGGGACAGAGCTGCCTCCTTAAAGTGGAGTTCATTCTGATGACATGAATGGAGTAAAGCTTTCGAGATCTTCTTTTGCTGATGGGGCACAACCCAAAATAAGGAGAATCAGCTATAAATCTCCATTAATATTCAAAACAGAGCGTACGAAGTATGAATCTAAAAAAATTGGAAGTTGTAAAAAATGAAATGGAATGCATAAACATTGATATCCAAGCATTGGTGAGCTGAAATGGACTGTTTCCAGTTGTTTTGAATCTGATAACCAAAATGAACTCAGTGCAGGAAAGTACATGAAACAAAGAAACCAGTAGCACCACAAGAAAACAGCAAAATGACAACAATCGATTCATACTTATTGATAATTACACTGGATGTAAACAGATTGGAGAATCAGCAGAATGGACAAAAGAGCAGGACTCTTCAATATGCTAGCTCTAAGTTGTTGTTGTTAGGTGCCATCGAGTTGGTATGCACAACAGAACGAAACACTGCCCGGTCCTGGGCCAACCTCACAATTGTTGCCACGTTTGAGCCCATTGATGCTGTCACTTTGCCAGTCCATCCCACTGAGCATCTTTCTCTGGCCCTCCACCTTACCAAACATGATATCCTTCTCCAGTGACTGGTCCCTCCTGACATTATGTCTGAAGTGTGAGAGACAGTCTGGCCATCCTGGCCTCCAAGGAGCACTCTGGCTACACTTCTTCCAACACAGATCTCTTTGTTCTTTTGGCAGCCCATAGCACTTTTAATATTCTCCAAAACCGTAACTCAAATGCATCAGTTCTTCTACGATCTTCCTTATTCACTGTTCAGCTTTCACATACATGTGAGGTTATTGAAAATACCATGGCTTGGGTCAGGTGCACCTTAGTCCTCAAGCTGACATCTTTGCATTTCAACACTTTAAAAAGGTTTTGTGCAGAAAATTTGCCTAATGCAATACGCCATTTGATTTCTTGACTGCTGCTTCCATGAATGTTGATAGTTAATCCAAGAAAAAAACTGCAATCTTTTCTCCATTGATAAGAATGTTGTTTATTGGTCCAGTGGTGAGGATTTTTTTTTAGACTGAGATGCAATCCATACTGAAGGCTGTGGTCTTTGATTTTCATCAGTAAATATTTTTTAAGTCCTCTTCCCTTTCAGCATGCAAGGTTATATCATCTGCATGTGGCAGGTTGTTAATGAGTCTTCCTCCAATCCTGATGCCATGTTTTTCTTCATAGAACCCAGCTTCTCGTATTATTTGCTCAGCATACAGGTTGAATAAGTATGGAGAAAGAATACATCCCTGTCGCACACCTTTCTTAATATTAAACCATTCAGTGTTCCCATGACCCACACAATCGAAAGCCTTTACGTAGTCAATAAAGGTAAACATCTTTCAAAAAGATGGAGACAGTCTAAATGCCCATCAACAGAATCGTTAAACCCTGGTCCATACACACAATGGAATACTATGAAACGTTGAAGAACGGTGAATCTATGAAACACCTCACAGCATGGATGAAGCTGGAGGACATTATCCTGAGTGAAATTAGTAAATCACAAAAGGCCAAATACTGTATGAGACCAATGTTGTAAAAAGTTAAAATGTGTTCTTGATAAATAATCCGTGATTGTTACAGGGGAGAGAAATGGGGTAGGATGGGTGACAAGGCAGGCAATAATACAGCAAAAGGGAAGCATGCAACAGCTAAAGTAAATAAAGATAAAGACTTAACTGTTGGTACATGGAGGGGATTGCAGTCAGTGTAATGATGCAAAGTATATGATGTGTTGCAGGTAAAATTGATGATCTGCTCTGTAAATCTTCATTCAATTCACAATAAAATTATAAATCAAATTTATTCTGGAAAGCATTTTGGTGTCTGCATCTCTGTTGCAAACAATAGGCTTTGTGTGACTCTATTCCAAAGAATAAACCCAAGGAACAGATTCTGGAAGAATTTAACAAAGTTAGAGGGCCTTACAGATGTCATTTTATACCATCAACTGGATGACCAGAAAAAAAAGAAGCTTTAGCTTCTTGAATCTGAAGATCACAAAGGAGCTACTTGAACAAGGCTGTAGGTTAATGAACATAAAGTCAATGTCTAGGGAAATGTTGGAATTGTGGAATTGACTGATTCGATAGAAGATCCTGAGTGAGATGGATTGGCCCAGTGACGGCAGCAACGGGCTCAGGTGTAGCAATGATTGTGAGGGCGATGCAAGGCTGGGCAGTGTTTCATTCAGTTATGCAGAGAGTGGCTATGCGTCAGTACCAACAAGATGGCACCTGACAACAAATAGAAGATCACAAAGTGCTGTTTTTACAAAACCATGCCAACACTGCAACAGAAGAGACTCAAGAAAAGGTGGAGCCCTGGTGTGGCACTGTGGGTTAATG